AATATTATTTTTTTTAACGAAATTAGAATATTTAAAAAAATAAAAATAAAAAGTTTTGATGAAAATATTTTTAATAATTGGATTTCAATTCATGAAAGAAAAATGTGAAGTTTATTTTGTTTAATAGTAACTCTATTATACGATAAATATAACTTTTACAAATTTAAATTAGTTTAAAAAAATTGATCATATTCATGATTAAGATTACAAAAGAAGAGTTCTCAACTTTTACACAGAGATATAGAATTTATCACACAATGGGCAATAATATGAATGTTTCGTGATAAAACAATTTTCCAATTTGAATGATGTCCAAGATCCTTTGATCAATAGCTGACGTTTTGTTTTAAAAAACTATTCTAGCTATTAGAGAATTTCAGAAAACTCTAGGTTCAAAAATTGACTAGGTATCTATCATTTTAAAGAAACATATCTTTTCCCAAAAACAATAGAAAGACCTACAGAATAAATCTTAGACATCTTGCTCCATCGTTCTATATGAACAACGTTGTTGGAAAAGATATGCATGCTTTCTCATCCAAGAGGTTTCTAAAAAGTTGCGTTGAGTATAGTTGTAACACACACACAATTTAGTACAGCTTCAAATTCGATGAAACTTTCATAGGATGTTTTTTCTCTATTTAACACGTATACTCAGTTAGCATTGATGCTTCTGAACAGAGATATTGGTTTTTAAAGACTGTCATGTTCTGGTTTCAACATGCTCGAAAGGATACTCTACTAATGATATGTAGCAGAGACTTTCGGATACTTCAGTACTTTGGTTGTTTTAGTCTTTGATTTCAGCATGCTTCTAACTATTCATTTCATCAACTTACTGAAAAATGTTTCATAGAATACTATAGAAACTAAATAAGTACCCGAGTGAGTACCTAGTTAATGCTCTTGCATTGAGATAACTCTCAGCAGAATACTAGACCAAAATTCTGTAACATGTTGGTAGCCTGAACGCAGCTTATTTAGCAAAAACGAAGATAAAACTACAGCAAAAAGAAAGTCATGACTCATGTACGAAGATTAATAATGATAAATCATTCTATAGTAAGTATAATTTCAATCAGTCTTATTTAGAGAATAAAATCCTATCTAAAACATAATTTTCATCAGAAATAATTATTAACAGAGATAGGATCAGTTTTTGACTTTTTGTTTTTGAACCAAATCGATCTCATATCTGGTTCCTTTTCTTTTTCATATAAATGTTTTTTGAAAGATATTAAATATAACTAGTTTAATGATTGACTCAATGAATACCTTTTGCATGCAGATAAGTGCTGCTTTAGGAATATCTACATCAAGTCGTTTAAACCATTTAACTTCATCAAATATAGAAAATAATTCAATATTTGAATTAATTTCTATTCGTTTATTATTTTCTTCAGGATCATTAACTAAACATAATAGATTAGCATTTAAATGATCTTTCCATGCATCAATTTTTTCTTTCCATCGTCCTAATAATAATTGTTCATAGACAAGTAATGCTTTAGCTGTACGATTATAAAGTTTTGATATTAATGGAAAATTTCCTAATGTAACAATATGTCGATTTAATTTAAATACATCCATTGCTTGTTCAATTTTTGTTAATAATGTGCGTGACCAAGCAATAGCACCTTAAAAAAAAAAATAATTTCTTTTCAAAAATGAAAATATAGACTTTTCAAAAACAAATATTCTACCTGGTACAGGTGGAGCATTTCGAGGTAATGGTGGATCATCTTTATGTGCTTCAAATGTTGTTCGAATATCTAATAAATCATTCTCAAAATCTTAATAGAGAAAAAAAAATTTTTGTAGAAAAACTATTGTTTTTTTTGTTTTATTAGTATTATATTTACTAAGAAATAAATTAACATAAGCATCACGAAGAATTGAACGAAGATAATTTCGTTCACAAACAGGTTCAAAACTTGCTAAAATAGATAAACCTTCATATGTACGTTTTGTTTTTGAAAACATCACATTAATATAAGCACCAATAAATTGTTCAAGTTCACGTGTTAATGAAGTAAATTGTTTATGAATTAAATCAAATCTTTAAAATTTAAAATTCATTTAAAAAAAAAAATTTTAATTATTAAAATATATATGAATATACACATACTTTATTTTTTCATCTTCATTTGATTGATTATTATTATTATTTGTTAAAATTGATTTAAGTTGTTCAATACCATTAGCAATAAATCCACTTAATGATAAAGAATCATTATCACTATCACAATGTTTTTCTTTTGATTAGAAAAAAAAAAAAAAAAAAGAGAGATGAAGACAAAATTTAAAATTTCTAAGACAAAATAACATACTCATCAATTCAAGATCACTTTTTGATACAGTTGAAATGAGATAATCATTTGTTGTCGTACCTGCATCACTACCTGCATCATCAATACCTTCATCTGAAGCATTCTCAGCATTATTATGATCATTTCTTTCTTCTCCTTCTCCTTCTCCTTCTTCTTCTTCTTCTTCTTTGTCTTCACGCTTGCGAGTATCTAAAAAAAATTAAAACTGAAGAAAGAATGTACAATGATTCCAAAAATCGATCATACAGGTTTTATTTCAATAGAGAAATTTGTTTCGGATACACATTCAAGGAAAATAAAGTCATTCAGTATTATGGAAATTCAGTTTCTCTAGAAAATGCAAAATCTAGTTTTTTAGCAGTCAAAACTGTAAAAATAAAGGTTTCTTTTAAATAAACAGGGTAAATAGAACAACTACATCAATTTTAAGAAAAGTACAAAAGTTCATTTTTTTACATAGAAAATGGTCAAACAACCACTTTTGAGTTTTGCTTAAAAATGATATGACTTAGTCACGTTTTTCTCTTACTTTCTAAACATAGACAGTTTTCTTCATATGCTAAAAGATATAGAATTTCAAGCTGTCAACTTTGTTTTTCAAACAAGTTTAACCTTTTCGGTGTCAAATTTAAAAAACTCATATCTACACAGTCATTTGCCTAAGATTTTCTATTCTCTACTGACATTTATTGATTTGTATAAAGTCTTTTGCTTATCAGAGTCGATGCCAAAAGTAAATTACCTAAGATCAGTAGATAGAGAATTTTGTGCTCAACAACCTTTTCTAGATTCTCAAGACTTGTATTGACGAGAAAAACACTTCGAACTGATAACTGTCAGTATTTCTGAGGCTACTTTAGAAAATCTTGTATTTAAAAGCTAGACTTGCTCTATCCAATATTTATTAGTATGCTGTCAAATATAGAATTTATCTCTGAATAAAGTAGTATTAATATCAAGCTGATCTGTAAAAATATGTAGTGTGTTTCAAATTAAAAAATAACACTAGCATAGGTCTACCAGAAAAAAGAATTCTTTCAAATTCTGCTGCATTTTTTATTTCAAAACTGTATCTACAAAATATTAATCAGTTTTTTTCGGTTGTCTTTTCCATCGCAGTTAGACAATAAAGTAGATATTTTTCTTCCAAGTTTTATGTCGGCAAGGAAAAGCTATTTGAAAAAACAAAGTCAACAATGTTGTAGATCTTGAAATTGTCTATCTTTAAGAATAAGATAGAATTTTTTTTATAATTGAAAAATGTGAAAAAACTGTGTCGAGATTTATAAAAATTTCTGCTAGAAAACCTATTGAAGAATTAATTGTTCTGTCATCTTGTTTAATCCAAATAAGTTTTTATGTTAGAATTTCGAATGTAGAAAATTACGTTCTAGGTTTTCTAGAGATTCTGGATTTTCGGACTACTGTGCCGGTTGTATTCTCCTTAAATTTCTATTGGAAACAAATTTCTCTATCGAAATTACTATTTGAATTTTTCATATCAGTTATCATTATGAAAATAAAATCCATATGATCCTTTTTTTTTGGATCGACTATATATACATATAATAATTATTTATAATACCTGTACGATTAGCAATATTTTCTGCTTCGATTAAATCTGTTCGTTTTGGTTTAGGTAATCGAACAGTTGTAGTGATAAGTCTACAATAAATTTTAATTAGAAATAAAACTCAAAAAATAAAATAAAGTAAATTTTATTTATTCGTTTTTTTCCTACTGTGAAAATTGATTGAGTATAACTGTCATATCAAGCATTTGTTCAACTCGACGACAAAATTCATCGAAATGTTGAAAAATTTTTTCATCTTGTGACATTGAAATTCCACTTGAATGTCTAATTTGATATCTTGAATGACTTTGATCATGTGGATTAGCACTCCTATTCAGAAACATTTCAATATTTTATTATTAAAATTAACTTAAAAAAAAACTTTTTTTCAACTAACGTTGTTCCACTTAATGTTGATGATGATGTTGCTGAAAAAGCTGTATTAGCTAACATTTGTGAACCACCAAGTGCATCTCGTAAAGTACGAAATATTTCTTTGTAAGATGCCTGTAAAAGAAGACAATTTTTTAAACGTTGAAATGTACTTTCATTAATTGAATTTGTTTCTAATGGTATTGATCCTTTTGGAACTTCACGAAAACGTTTTACATCCTATTTGAAAATAAATATATATATATATATTATTGTTTTTTTTTTTAAACATACTCGTTTATCAAGATGAAAATTTTCTTTAATATCATCAATTAATCCTCCATATAGAATTTCATTGAAAAGTTTTGGCCAAAGTTGTGTTAAATCATCACCAATATGATGTTTACAAATTTTAACTAATTGATTAGTAACTTTTGCAAATATTAAGCCTAAATAACCTTGTCTAGCATAATATCTTGATACTGATTCAACAGTTCTCATAGCATCACATAGAGCAGGTAAAATATTAACAGCACAATTTTGTGGATGTGCATCTTCAGTTAAATTTTCTAAATAACGACGAATAGATTCAAGAAATTTTGTTTTATCACGACATTCATTTTGTGCTTCAGTTATACTAATTATTCATATGAAAAACAAAAAACAAATCTTAATGATGAAATAAATATAACCAAAACTTACGAAACATCAATCGCTTTCCATTTTCGAATAACTTTTGATTTTGATGTAATTAATGCACCTATAACTGCTTTACATTCTTTAGATTTTAATTGTTCAAGTAAATTATTAATTAAACGTTGTTTACGTGTCCATCGATCGATTTCACTTAATGGACCAAGTGATGGATGCATTGAACTATTAGATTAATAAGAGAAAAAATTTGTTCCAAAAATAAAACATTGTTGTTTTTTTTTTATAAAACTTACTCTTCACCGAATATATCTTGAAGAACATTTTCAATTGTTGAAATCCATGATAAGACTAATGATTCACAATTACGAATAACAGGACTATCAGCAGTTGACCGTGCACTTTGTTTTAATTGACTTATCATATCAGCATCAACTCGTTTTAATAGCTAATATTAAAGTAAAACAATGATACATGGTGAACATTTTTTTCATATGAATACATAAATACTTTGATTTTGGGTGAGATAGAAGAGAATAATATGAAATTGAACTCTAATAAAGTTATGAATCTATGTAACTTAATATATAGTATCGATCGTACAGAAATATGGGTGTTGAACAAAAACATTTCATGTCAAGGAATGTTTTAATTCCTATCGCACTAAATGAATATTTGCATCTCTGTTAGTTTCATAGTCATATTAAACATATTGAATTGAATAAATTATTCAATAGAAATGAAATAAACGGGCTAGGAATATTTGTGCTTACGAAGATATATCAATCAATAGCATAGAGTACTTGTTTGATCTGTATAAGAATAACTACTATTTCGTTTCTTGAATAGTATTTTTCGAACAAGGTATTTTACATAAATAAGAGCTATTTATAAATAATAATAGCCAATCAAGAATGGTCATAGTGTGTCGAGATATTTTCATGCATATGAAAACAAGTTGATATGTGTATTATTGATATGAGATAATTTCAAGAAAGTAAATTTAGAGAAATTTAAGATAAATAAATCAATTTAATCAGTGTTTATCTCATGACATCCGTAGGTCCCATCTCATAAAAGTTTTGTTCTCTTGAACTATCAACTAATTTTATATCGAATGAAAGCTTATTTCTTACGAATATTAACAATGCCATCTTTAATGTAAACTTTTTTTTTTCTTCCCGTTTAGATATATATACATATATGTAGACACATCTCGAAAAGACAAAAACCGCTGGATTGATCTAAGCTTGTCGCAGATGAAATCTAATGCTTGAGTGAGAGTCAAAGTTTTTTCTTCTATCCTGTTAGAGAAAAATATGGTTTGGACTTGTTGGGAGTGTATATTTTGTTCCTAAAATGATAAGTATATGTTTACACTTAACAAGCGTAATTGAGAGACTTTTGTGCATATTAGGAATCACGAACTTGACGTTGATAGGTGAATATCGGTTCTAGACTTCCAGATATAGTTAGAAGCAAGAAAGACATAAGATACTCAGAAGTTCTTACACCAATCTATAATTGAGAATGATTAAATTTACAAAAGCAATGACTAGCATAAATTCTTATTGTTTGTCTATATCAGTTTATTGGATTCTTTGACATTTTGTAAAATTACAAATATAATTCTTGTTTTACTTGTAATACAAGAAAGTAAAATTCAACTTCATCTATTTATATATATATACATATGATATTCATCTCACAGATATACTCTCTAATCTTCTAATAATTAACAAATAAATTTTCCAGTTTTACATAAAAGGTTCTATGTAATTGTTTCATTCGATTCAATATTATTTGTTTTGTATGTTCAATATAAGACTTGTTACTAAAATCGTCTTGTCTAGAGATGCAGTTTTATTGACATGTTTTACATTTTAAATCTTCAAAAATTGTTTTCAAAGCTTAGATTTAATATAATTTATGACTTGGAGACTTCAGTATACATAGAATCTTTCTTCTTTCGATGTTTAATATGAAAAACATCACTTCAATAAAACTGTTTGATGCTTACTAAATTCTTATCTTTTTGTAAAGAATGACATGTTGCACTAATACCATCAATATGTCTTTCCATTTGGGCTGCAATAGCTGCTTTTGTCGTTGCTTGATTATGACTATCATTTGAATTAGGTGTTAATTCTTTCTTAAACAATGGTAATAATGTATGTGAATAAAGTAATGATGTCATCTGTGCTGGATGCTTTATTTCTCCACAATAAATATCTGATGCAGGTGGAATAGTTGCATCGGAACTTGTATCCGAACGAATAAAATATAATAAAATAATATTATCCAATTGTTCATTAACAAGAGCATATTCATCAACAATAGTTTGACAACATATTATATCTTTCGAAGCAAGACGATCACGTGTTGTATAAAAAAATAATTTATTTGAACCTTTTGCAAATAAAAAACTATTCATTTTATCAAGCACATCAGTTCGACGAAAAAATGCTTCCGTAAATGATGCATCAACGGTTGAAGTTTTATCAATACCAAATGTTTGTTCAACTTTTGATGCAATCCACCAATGTCGTTCATCCATATCTAAGTAAATAGTAATTGTAATTTAAAGTATTCAATAAAGAAAAAGAAAATTTATTCGCAGTTATACCATTTGCATTCGCTTAAAATTAAATTACTTAGCAACAATCTTTTGTAGAAATAAACGAATTGATATGACATCTATAGAAATATTTTTCTTGTTTTATTTAAAAATAAAAAATTTCTTTTATTAAAATTATATTTTAAAAAAAAAAAGAACTATGAAAAAAATTTAATTTCTAAAAAATTTTCTGACAAATATTTCTTCACAAGTTTTTTTTTTTGCTAAGCAATTGTTATTCATGTACGACATTTGTTTCTATCTGCCTATTCGTTTGTTTATTTGTTTATTCATATAACATTCATATACGAGAATTTTTTTGTCTTTCTTTCAGATTCAAATAATCGTATATTAAGATCGATATAACTTAAAGAATGAGTTCGGAACGGTCAATATCGCCTGATCCATTACCACGATCTCGTTCTCGTTCAAGTGTTGTTCTTATTGATGATAAAGGTAGTAATGGACATAATACTCGTCAACCATCATCATCAGTTACACAAAAACGTCGACGAGAAAATTCCAAGTATGATAACAAAAGAAAATTTTTTTTTTTTTTTGCTAAAAAAATAATTTTTCAAAATTAAGTCGTACACCTTCACCACGTTCGGCAACATCTCGATCACGTAGTCGTAGTTCAATAGAAGGTTCAAAATCACCTGTTGTTCGTAAAAATGTTAACAGCAATAATAATCATCGTTCACCATCACCTGTTCGTCAATCGAATTCATCATCAAAACGACGTCGTCGTCGTGGTAGTGATGCTGATTCAGGTCGACATATTTGTGCTATTTGTTCATGTGATGTCGAAGCAGCTAAACGTTTATATGGTGTACTTGATAATTGCGATCATATTTTGTATGTTCAATATATTGAATAAATTCATAATAAAATATTTTTTTTAGTTGTTATGAATGTATTGTTTCATGGAAACGTTCAAAATATAGTAATGCTGAATCGGAAAGGTAATGAAAAGAAAATAATTTTATATGTTTTTTTTTTTTTGTTTATTTAGTTGTCCAGTGTGTAAAGTTCGTTCAGCATTTATAACACCAAGTAAAAATTGGTTTGAAAATAAAGACGATAAATATCGTCTTGTTAAAAAACATAAAAATCATTTAAAGTAAGTTATTTTAATTATTTTTTTTTTTTTTTTTTAAAAATTAAATAAGAAAGAAAAGAAATTGTCAATTGATAAATCCTATTAGGGAAAATTTTCTCATATATCGGCAGTTATCATTACCTGTGTCATTCTTCTAGACTTATGTTTTTATTCGTCAATCGAGTTCTTCCTCAGATTAAGCCCATTGTTCTTAAACAGACTTATTTTATTTAATATTAATTATCACTTAAACGAGTATTATCATTACTCTGGCTGTTTGTTAGAATTAATATCCAATTAATTTTGGCAGATTAAACAAAATATTTTATATACACATACATATATATATATATATCGTACATATATTATCTTTTTACAACAAAATATTTTCAAAATGTATGTATAGATGTGCTGTGTTTTCTATCATACCAGTATTAGTCTTAAACGTTTGTATAATTCGATTGGTTTCATCATATTTTCTTTTTCAATGCATTAATTAATCATTTCTAACTTTTTTTTTTTTTTTTTTTTTTTCTAAATCTTAAGGACATTACCTTGTCGGTATTATCTTCGTCATGGTTTTTGTCGTTATTCGGATCGATGTTTTTATGATCATCATGAAGCAGCTAAACAATATAAACAACAACATCAACATTCAAGAGAACGTGATCGAGATCGTGATCGTGATCGGGGGGACCGCGAACGTGATCGTGACCGTGAACGTGATCGTGATCATCAAAGTAGTAGTCATCATACTGCAAATAATGGAAGCCGTTCTTATTATCATTCACCATCACCACCACCACCATCATCATCAAGTCGATATTCATCGTCACGTTATCGTGAACGTGCTTATTAAACAACGATCAATAATGATTAGAAAGAAGAATAAACAGGAAAATAAAAAAAAAAAGAAATCTTTGTATAGTTCTTTAGTTAAAATCATTGAGGACAAACAATTCTTCTTTCCAAAAAACAAAATCTTTTGCTCTGCTTTTTTTTTTCTCTGTTTACTTTTCTTCGTTTCTGTTATAAGTATATATATATATACATATAAATATATATCTATTAGAGATTTTCCTTTTTGCTGTTGTTAACTTTTCTTTCATTTGTCTAATGTCTCTTTTTCTTGTACCGATAATCATTGATTATTCGGAATCTCGTCGTTCGATAACACATAGATACCTAAACTAGCCAGAAAATCCATAAAAAAAAAAACATTCATTGTCTTGTTTGTTGTTTGTCTTTAAGATAAAATCGTAGAATATGACATCCAGTGATTCAACAAAATCATTTGCATCAGTTGCTGCTAATAGTAGCAATGCTAAAGGCAGTGGTCAAATGGGTGATGTTGGTTTCAAAACACGACAACGACCTGATGCTATTCGAAATTCGAATATTGTAGCTGCTAAAGGTAAGAAGAAAAAAAAATTTATGAAGACAATAGTGAAAAAGAAAATTTTCATAATGAATTTTAGCCGTCGCTGATGCTGTACGAACAAGTTTAGGACCACGTGGTATGGATAAAATGATTCAAACAGGTAATGGTGAAGTAACAATTACAAATGATGGCGCTACAATTCTTAAACAAATGTCTGTTATTCATCCTGCTGCAAAAATGGTTTGTTTTCTTTTTCAAGCAAAAATTCTTTATTTATTCAATTGTTTTTAAATATTTATTCGATTTTAGTTGGTTGAATTATCTAAAGCCCAGGATATCGAAGCAGGTGATGGTACAACGACAGTTGTTGTTATTGCTGGTAGTCTACTTGATGCAGCTAGTCGTCTTGTTGCTAAAGGTAAATAAAACTTTAATAAGATGGAAAATGCTCTGCAAAAAAAAAAAAAAGAAAACTTCTATTCCATGTTATTCATACCAGAAATATTTTTTAAATGATATATTAAATCATTAGAAAGTAGTTCTGACGAGTCAAAAGCTATGAGTTAGGATATTCTTTTCAAATATCGATTTTGACAATTTGAACGAAAATTCTTTTTGCTACATTTTTATATTTCTACTATTGTAATTGTAAACTAATAGTTAGGATCTTTATTTATACACTAACTTATAGATAAGAAATGACCATAGATAATGCACTATTTTTTGTCGTTCAATAAGATGTCTCAATTGACGTTTTTCATAAATACCCATTTTTGTAAAATTGACAATTGTTTTACATTGAACGAAACTCATGAAAAAGGCTTGTAGTCTCATTTGGATAAATGATACAGTTGAGTTCAATACCACAATTTGTAGGAAAGCGACCGACTCCGATGATTTTTAGCATGTTCGAAAAAAAACTATTAGTTCATCATGAAAAATATTTTTTTCAAAAAGCTTTTCATCAGTCTTAAAGAAAAATAAACACAAAACTTCTATGCTGGTATTTGGAAAAGAGCGCATCTTATCTCATAGTATTTGACTCGTCTGAATTACTTTTCACCAGGTCAAAAGTGAACAAACATTTTTAATTTCCTGTTATATATACAACTAGTAGATTATGATTAATTTATATTATTAAACAATAGGTATTCATCCGACTGCAATTGCTGAAGCGTTTGAAATAGCAGCTGATAAAGCAACGGAAATTCTTAAAAGTATTAGTATACCTATAGAACTTAGTGATAAGGAATCATTACATCGAAGTGCTTCAACTGCTTTGAATTCAAAAGTAAGTAAAAGAAAATAAAAGAATAATTTCAAAAATATTTCTAATATATATTTTAAGGTTGTTTCTCAACATACTTATCTTCTTGCTCCAATTGCTGTTCAAGCTGTACTTAAAGTTATTGATCCAGCTGTTGATACGAATGTTGATTTACGTGATATTCGTATTGTTAAAAAACTTGGGTAAAATAACATATTGAAATTAATCATTTTTTCTATTGTAATTTTATGTTTTTAGTGGTACAATTGAAGATACGGAACTTGTTGATGGTCTTGTTCTTGATCAAAAAACAATTGGTTTTGGAGCACCAACACGTATAGAAAAAGCTAAAATAGCTTTAATTCAATTTTGTATTTCACCACCAAAAACTGATGTATGGTGTTTTTTTTTTGTTATTTAAATTAATTAATTAATTTTTTTTTATTATATGATCTAGATGGAAAATACAGTAATTATTAGTGATCATGCTCAAATGGATCGTGTTATTAAAGAAGAACGTCAATATATATTAAATATAATAAAACAAATTAAAAAAACGAGTTGCAATGTATTACTTATACAAAAATCAATTTTACGTGATGCTATTAGTGATTTAGCTATACATTATTTAGCAAAAATGAAAATATTAATTGTTAAGGATGTTGAACGAGAAGATGTACCATTTATTGCTAAAGTATATCGAAATCCTTTAATGTTTTTTTTTTTTAAATAAATAAATAATTATTAATTTATTTTTTTCAGACACTTGGTTGTAAACCTATTGCAAGTTTAGATCATTTTCAACAAGATATGTTGGGTACAGCTGAACTTGTTGAAGAAATTACTGCTGGATCGGATAAAATTGTTAAGGTATGTGAAAGAAAACATTCAGTTATGTTTAATATTTCTTTTTTGACAATGTCAAGAATAACATATTTCAACACAAACAAAGAGAAAGCCTATTAATATGTTTGACAAAACTTTTTATGTTTTGTTAGAACCAAATTTCTTTTTAAGCATCTTCTCATTCATTAGAAATTCTATTTTCAAACCAGAATATAAATATAAATTCAATTGACGAAGCGACCGTGCTCATCTAATTAATCGCTTACTTACTGAGAACTAGTGGATTATTGAGTTTCCAATTTGACTATAAAAAAATCTCCTTAGATCATCATATGTTGGTTTTCTAGACTAACGAACTTTTCAATAAAATTTTGCTTTTATAATCTATTCTAATTATAGAACCTATCGACTTGCCTAAAATGCGACAAGTTTTTCTATAAATAGTTCGATGTATTCTATAATCTGAGTTAATTCAAAACGATTTTGGTAAAATGTTGATTAGTCTAGAAAACAAGTAGATAAAGACATAAGAGGATTTCTTATAGTCATATTCGGCAGTGTTTTATCCAGGATTTTTTCTCCGGAGGGGCGATTTGAATTTCCGAGGGGGCAAGCCATGTATTCATAGCACGATTATCACAAATCTCGAGAGGGCGAACTCGATTTTCGGGGGAGGCGGCGCCGCCTCCCCGGGCACCCCTCTGGATAAAACACTGATATTCGGAACTAGTATGGTTGATAACAGATAATTAACACCTTTTGATGCGAAAGCAATTTATCAATTGAAAACGTTACTTTGTAAAACAATTGCACATTAACTCGAATAACAAGAAGAAAAATTAATACCAAAATTGCTATTTCCTTTGCGATATTTTGATTTCCAACAATAATATTTTTTGCTCAAAATGTTTCTATAACAATCATGACTCTTAGTCATAGCACATATGCTCAACGTCTAGATCTATTCTATACTTAAATCTTAGCTTTTTTTTTAAATGTATTATTATAATTCAAAAGATACTAGTAATGTCAAAAATCAGAAGAATTTTTTAAAATTATTTTTAGAAATATTTTGCATGTGTTTTCATATTGTCATATAGAGGTAATGCTTTGACAAAGATCCCAAAATTGAATTTATTAAAAAAAATAACTGCACATCTATAGGATATATATACTTCCTCTACATCTTGATCCTTCATATTCTATGGTAGATCAAAATTTTTGTTTATCTTATAAAATAGTTCACACAGTATGATTATGAATTATTTAATCTATTATGTTGGTTCTACTGCTTTCAATTATTGAAAGAAAAAAGGTCCAACAAATTTTTTTTCTATTAATAGCGACGTAAACAAAATATCTGAAACAGAAGATTGGCATGCATCGAAGCTAAAGGCGCTAATAATTATCAAATGACTATGGTTTTTATTCTATTTCGGATAATTTTTCCTACATTAATGTAGTAGTTCTTATAATTTTAACGTGACCTCTACCTTTTGAACTATAATAAATAGAACACGGAATTTCTAACGTAGAATAGATCTAGATGTCCTGTACAAGGACTATGAATATGAGCCTTTTTGTCATAGTAGAAATATATGGGAAAAAAAATATGGCTTTTGGCACTAAACATGATTATATAAGCTCTTTTTATGAAGTCTATTATTTAGGAGTATTTATATTATTCAGTATAAAAGTTATGTCGTAGAAAAAAAAAAGCAAAAAGAATCTTGTGTATAATTAGAGAGTTATTCATTAGAAAACACTGATAAATAGAAGATCATGAAAGCATTCTCTATAATTATATTTACTCTACTAGATCACAGGCGTTGCTCATCCAGGTCATACAGTATCAATTTTATTACGTGGTTCAAATAAACTAGTACTTGAAGAAGCTGATCGATCAATTCATGATGCTCTTTGTGTTATTCGATGTCTTGTTAAGGAACGGTTCGTATTATAACAAATAAAAGAAAAACAAAGTCATATATAATTATTTCTATATAGTGCATTGATTGCTGGTGGAGCTGCGCCTGAAATTGAATTAGCTGTTCGTTTGGCTGAATATGCTCAAAGTTTATCAGGTGTTCATCAATATTGTGTACGAGCATTTGCTGAAGCACTAGAAGTTATTCCGTATACATTAGCTGAAAATGCTGGTTTAAATCCTATAGCAACTGTAACTGAATTAAGAAATCGTCATGCTCAAAATGATACAAATGCTGGTATCAATGTTCGAAAAGTAAATTTAATTTTTTTCCTAGAAAAAAAAAAAAAAAAAAAAAAAGAGAAATTTTATTCAATGATAATACCATTAAATTTTAGGGTCTTATCTCAAATATTCTTGAAGAAAATGTCGTTCAACCATTACTTGTTTCTGTTAGTGCTATTCGTTTGGCTACTGAAACTGTTCGATCAATTTTAAAAATTGATGATATAGTAAGTTAATTCAATTTAATGATCGTCATTATATTTATTGTCCATTTTCATTTTAGATCGAAACAATGTAATCAAAAGAAACTAAGGCATTGATTCTCAACATAAGTTTTTGCATGTGTGGTTTGTTCTGTAGGAAATTTTTTTTTGTCTCTTCTCTTATTGTTGTTTGTTGTTACTACTACTACTACTACTACTTATTGTTGTTATTGCCATTATAACTTCTTTTCTTTTTCTACATACCCGTGCTTACAAAAAACAAAAATATAAGCAAAGAAAACAAGACGAATGATTGAGATATGAACAAGACCAGTTTTTTTTTTATTATTACGAATAAACTTTTGCACCGCATATTCGTTGTCATTTTATCATATAAAATTTATCGAACAAAATAATTGCCATCGCTCTATTATAATTATGCTCAAGTTCTTCGTTTTTTTTACACAAGGTTATGTCGCGTTAAGCTAGTTTCACTATAAAAAACAAATATTAAAGTACTTTTTTATTATACGATGCCACATGCAGAGAAGTATTTTTAAAAGAATTTGCAACATCCTATTATAAATTGTGAATAAGAACAGCAAGCATTTTCTGGAATGCAAAAATAAAAATAACAAACAAATTACTGTGGAATTAATTTGAGACTTATTGGAAATGCGTACTATGGTAATTATATCCGATGTACATTAGATTTACTTGATTGACTTCTTGAAATAATTAATCAAAAGTTGATCTATACTCTGGCATTCGTAAAAGAGTAATCTCACATGAATTTTTTTTATTGAGCACAAAAAAGAAGTAAATTAACGAAGATTTTTTTCCTTTAAATAATACTACAATTAATATATATGACAAAACACAAAAAAAGGAGCTGTTTTTTTGTTTAATGTAATAGTATATTTAGCCGTGGGCAAGTCGTCTACGGATCGAAAAATTACTGCTTACAGATGTTTTGAATCGACGATAATTACTAGATATATTAAAAAGTTATTGCGTACGAATCTTTTTGATAATGATAAAAAATGTTCGCAGCTCAAAAATTCTTGACTATATTACTAATTTAATCACCACAATAAACACCACCGTCGTCGATAATAGTTGTTGATTGACTAGTTGGATTTGTTTTTATTTCAACTGATAGGTTTTCTACAGCAGAATGATTTAATTTGTTAGTAAAAGATATATGCCGAGATTTAGATGATTTAAGAATAATGGATGAATGAACAGTATTCTTGGAATTATTTTTGATAATTCGTGATGACATTGATGAAGTAGAGTAACAATTTTGATCATTTGAATTATTAAAACAAAATGAAAATGTTCGACTTTCTGAAGGTATATCATCAATGGCAACACTATGTTTTGCTTGTTTCATTACAATTTCATTTTGTGTTCTGAAAAAAAATAATTTGCGTCGTTTTCGCTTTGGCTTACGTTCAAATAATTGAATATTTTCATCTGGTTTATTATTTTGCTGACCCGTTCCACGAGAATGAAAACAATTGAGAACAAGTAAATATTCTTCACGAAATGAATCAGATAGAAACACATATAATACTGGATTAAGACAATTATTAGCATAACCAATTATTGTTGTTAAATGTGTTAATTCTTTAAGAAAACGCATATGTCTATTGGCTGGTAATATTGAAATGTTTAAACGTAATGATTGAATCAATGGATCGATTGTTATAAATATTTGTAAAAACCAATATGGTACCCAACAAATAAAATAAGCAGTTATAACAGCCAAAACAATACGTGTAACTTTTCGATGTGAGCGTTCTTTTAACTCAGATCGATGTTTACGACGTATATGATGAAGACGTACAAGAACAAGAACATAAAATGTTGTAATCATTGATACAGGAAAAAGAAAACCGAGTAAAAATGCATAATAAGTAAAAACAATTTCAGGAGGAATCGTAAATATAATTGCTGGAAAATCAATTACACATCTATCGATAAAAAAAAAAATCTTATTAATTGATTATTAAAGTTTCTTTCTCAAAAAACTATGTAAATAGATAAACTAATTATCTAAATAAGACTATAGATTGATTGACCTTTGTATAAATAGAATATCTCATATAATTAACGTCAAAAAAAGCTAATATGATTTAAATTGTTGAGTTAATATTTTTGATGTTAGCAAAGATTTAGATTTTCATGAAAGGAGCTCACTCCTTAGACAGAATCAGCAGGGTATTTATGATACTTTCTTCATCGCCTTTATTTTCTATTTAATTGATTTTTATTTGTATAAAATGATCTGATTTCATGAAACTTCGTAAAAAAAGCTTTTCACTTTGGCAAGTCAATAAAATATTCCATGTTAATTTATATTTATGGTGAAAAAAACAGTTTTGAAAACGTATTTGTGTAACATATGATTCGTTATTGAAAACATACTTTAAGATTCATGACTTGTTTCTAACCAGTAGCTGATCCAGGTATGAGCAAACGGACAATAGCCTACGGGTTTTTTTTTTGAAACAATGATAATTAATTGATGTTTCAAAAGTTCTTTCTCTAGAGGTTTTGGAAAATAGCAATAATTGCCTCTAGCTGCTCATTCCTTAATACAGTCTGACCAGAAAATTACTGGCAACTCAACATTTTTTGGCTTCATCACTGATTGTAATTAATTATAGAGTTAAGCTACTTTTGAAAATATTATGTGATCCGCATAGTCTATAATATATAGACTCTCTACCAATAAAGACGATATAAGCATCTTAAATCTAGTGTCAGCAATGCCCCTATTATCATTAAGAAAAGTACTGAGAAGATTTATGATAAATACAAAGCATTAATATTATGAGGAAACCTTCAAATCAACAAAATAATACCTTCTATCATATTCATTGTAAGATATTGACATTTCAAACTTCAAATGAATTCTTCGTTATATCTTCTTTTTTACCTAAGAGTTGATAGAGTGTTTACTACTGTTAATGAACATTCTTTTCCAGTCGAGAGAAGAAAAATAAAAAACCTTGAAAATTGCCGTTTTCCTCAAGAATTACATCTTTCTTGAAATGTTCAAAATGTATTGTTGGACCGTCTTGCAAACTTCTGAAAATATGTTTCCTAACTTTAGCATTTAAAATAGAATATAAACCAGATGCTAAATCGATTACCACTCGAACCAGTTTTTGATGATAGTGCCTCGAATTGTACTTGTCACAATGCAGATAGATCAAATTAACATATCGATTCGTTTTTTCTAATTAAACGAATAAATCTAATGGTTTTTTTTTTTTATTCTACTTATCATGTTACGAGTCCAAAAAAGTATTGATGACTTCTTTTTCTACATTGTGTCGTTGTTGAGAAAACTTTTTTCTCTCATTAAATTTTCAAGCGAATAGATAACAAGCATGCTCGAAATTCTGTGATTTTCTTCATAAGAGCTAAATTTGTATTCAATAAAAATCTAGTCATGATTAGCATAGGAAATGAGTAAGCTCAAGCACTTTATAATAGTTTCCGTATGAGCTCCAGGTTTTGCTGAGTTATAATATTAAAGTCTATAATGCCGGAAAGATCCATGAAGAAACAATGAGAGACAATAATTGATGAAACACATATGAATAAACTCATTTTTTACTCTAATGATGAATAGGATATGACTAAATACTAATGTAGTTCTTATACAGCAAAATTAGAAATTCTCAGGATATATTATGCTTATTCGTTTCATAATTAGGGGAAAACGTTTTTTTTTTTATTCGGAACAGACAATACAAAATAATAAAAGCGACAAATACTTACGTGACTTATAACATGACTAATAGAATGATATAAAACATTAGACTTATTTGTTTAATCAGAAAAATAGACAAGTTATAAATATATCTTATCCACATAATTATAGGCACAATTTAAGGCATTTTCAATAAAAACAATTGTTCGAACAAACGTTGATTGAATATTTTGTCTATATATAATTTTGGATACTGAATTTTAAAAGAAATATTTTTCAGAAGTTTTCAATAAGACTCAACAATAAACTTAGAACACTTTGAAAAAGATTTAGTATGTAAGAAAAACAACAAATTTGATCGTTTTTCTTTATCTAAAAAGACTGTTCATAAACGTTGAGAAGCATTTTTCCATAGATAATAATTAACATTCTATCAAACTCTGCGCAAAAAAGACAAAAAAAAGAATTCATTGGAAATTCGAGTTGTTGAGGCGTGATTTCAGACGCTCTCTATTAATATTATTATCATTTTTACTAAGTAATTTTTCTCTAATTAAATATCTAAAAATAATCTGGAAGCAATTAAAAATAATGAAACTACTTATGACATTTCCTTATTCTTAAAGTTGATAAATAGTTTGCATGGAAATTACAGTCATAATTAATTAAAATATAAATCTTAAATTATTCGCAAAATATTTTTGTTGTCTAGTTATCTTTCACTAGAGACTTTTATGGAAATTTTGTTATTCATTAATAAATATTTTGACAACATAAATGATCTTGATGTACTGGAAACATTGACGAAATAAAAGCACTCTTATCTAACTATAACTAATTCTATTGCAGCACATTTATTGTTCTGCTTCATTTATTGTCAAATGGTGCTTTTAAATTATTTATTGATGAGCATCAAGCCATGCAAAAAATCTTTCGTTTCAATGCATCTGTTACATTTTTGTTGTGAAAATATGTGTATTTATTAGGAACATAATTTGAAAAAAAAAAACCATATCACTTGTGTTTACTTGTCTAATAGGAATTTTACGATACTCTCTCGTGCATATAGAAGTTTATTTGCATTTTGTCAGTGAAGTTTTATTCTAGTGAGACTCTTAATTGATGCGAATGGGTGAAAATAATGAATAGGATTATTTTCGAGTAATTTAGTTAGTTTATATCGCACTAATACGTAGAAAATGCAATAAGAGAAAATATAACAATTAATAATAAACAATAAGCAAACATGTTCTTACTTCTGTACTTGATATCCATACCAAACAATATATCTTTCGGATGTGACAGTTGCAAATACCCATGTTGGACAAAGAAAAAGAACAGAAATAAGCCAACATCCTAAATCATAAAACATGGATTAACAGAAAAACATCTACTTTTATCGTAAAAAGGAAGAAGAAACAAACCTGCTATAATCAAGGCACATTTTGTTCTTGTCCGAAATTCAATAGCTTGAATTGGACGACATACAGCTAGATAACGATCAAATGATAAAGCAGCCAATAATAATGAACTAACATATTGATTAATATGAATAAAATTATAATACATTTTACATAAAACTTGCCCAAATATCCATCCGTTAGCAAGAATTGTAACAATAAGAAACGGTATACTTAAGAGAAGAAGAAAATCAGCTACAGCTATATTGAGTAAATAAGTATTGGTCACAGTACGCAGACGATATGAACGAAGAATACTTATAAATACTAAACCATTACCAAATGTTCCAATAAGAAAAAGTATTGCATAAAAAGGAACAAAATAATATGTTATTGGATATTTTCTTAATAAAGCTGTAGTTGAACTAACGGTTGTATTACTTGTCATATCAATGTTATTGTCAAACATGTTTTTATATTTTTTAATCTGTTCGTTATAATAAATAATCTATTCTTAACATTAAAATGAGTAGAATACAATTGATACAGAAAAAGAGGATTCTAAGAAAATAGAAAAATCTGAAGAAAAGAAAGAGACAAATTATTTTTCTTCTCCGGTTATTTTACTAGGAGCGAAAGGCAACTTCACCAAAAGAAATTCTCTGATGCGAAAAGAAAGAAGAAAAAAAGTAAGTGTAGTTCTCATCTTTGTCATTCCTGAAATTCTTTGCGTTTGTCATGAATATTTTACGGGTTGTTCTTACCGTCAAATCAACAACATCCTCTTTCTTATCCTTGCTTGACTACTAATCTTTGTCAATTTCTTCTTTCTACTTTCGAGATTGTAGCCCATCAACAGACTCATATCATATCTTCCAATGACTTTTATTTCCTATAGTCAAAGACATTTATCTAGAAAGAATGATAATACGAGTACAGAAAAACAGTTTAGCATTACTTCTTTAGTGCACCGAGGTATTCATATACATGAAGTTTCTCAATAATGATTTGATTATGATATTATGACGTGCAGTCAATTTTTCTATTTGTCTCGAGAAAAAAAAAAACTTTTTAAGCATTTCATTCAAACTCCAGTTCCATGTATTGTAGCGAATTGTCTTTTATTATTCGGAAAACACCAAACATTACTACGTCTTCCAACAAAAAAATGCTTCAGAAAAAAATTCAATTATTCACTTATGAGGATTGGGATCATATGAAACGAATCATATTTGATTTTTTAAAATTATATTCATATACATGTTGATTGGATATAGAATAATGTTTCTTCTCAAAAATAAGTCAATTTTTCTGACACAATCAATCGAATGTAAAGATTGCAATTGTCATTCGATTCATTCTCATACAAGATACCTTTGATCTCTTTTAAAAACAAAAAAACAGTATCATCTATTTTTTCCTCTTTTATCAACCGAGAAAAGTTACTGATGAAATATTTTCCGTTGTAAATCTTATCAAAGCCAATCGAGTTCTATAGAGCTATTAGAGATAGATTTAAGAAAGCTACGTCAAATAAATCATATAATGATTATTCGGAAACCATCTGAGTGTTTATCTACGTAAGAGCTTTATATTTGAACGAGAAGATCACTAATGAGTTTTATTTGACCTTAAAAGTAACTAGGTCAATTACGGTAGTTTGTTTGTACTTAATCAAAACAGTGTAAGTAAATACACTTATGTCAATAGTCTGAGAAAATATCATAGAACAATATTGAAATAATAATTAAAGACGATATTTCGCCAACGTTTTGATAGTTAATTTTTCGATTGTTTTAGTCTCAAACTGAATAA